TGCTGCTTGGCCTGCTGTGTTCATCCAGCCCTGCACCTTGTTGTCTCAGCTTTCTACATGTTGCCTTTGCCAGAGATGACAGATGCTAGACTGAAACAGCAAGTTACACTTGTATTGTGTCCCAGGGCTTTGCAGGAGTGAAGGCATCAAACCATGGGAGGTATTAAGCCAAGCCATGAAAAACCTGGTCAAAGAAGTGGTTCTGGAGGAAACGGAGAGAGAGGTGTAAGGAAGGATATCCAGAGGATGTGTAAATCAAATCATTTTTGAGCTGTTGTTCCAGTTGCAGTGTCTTCTCCAAAATACATGCATTTGTGACACATATGTTTTATTTGAATGTGCAAAGATTATTCCATTCTAATTTTTTTTTTGTGGTTTTTGTGTTCTTGTATCAGGGTTACAAGTGCTGAGAGCTACTTTCTGAGTGATGGATTGTATGTGTCGGAGAGTTTGCTGGAGAACAGGAAGCAGTTAGGGTTACAGGTCATCCCGATAGACCCAGGTGAGCAGAGCAGAGATGACTGTGAGGAACCAGAGGAAATTGGAGCATCAGCCTGCAAAATACCAAAAATGGAACATTTAACCCATGGAGAAGGTGTGCCCGGGGCTATGTGTGCCTCGTCCTCCAAAGAGAACAATCAGTCATCTAAGGACAGATCTGATAAGGACAACATTTGTCCAGTTTCACTCTCCACGGCTGAGAGAGACACACAGGAAACCATTCCACCCCACACAGCAGCAACAAGTCCTCAGACTGTCCAACAGCAAGAGAAGGAAATCGTTAAGGATCTTCTTCATGTCTTGGACAAAAGAGATGCTTTCATCCTGGATATTGATTTGGATTTCTTTTCAGTTAAAAATCCATTTAAAGAAATGTACACCAAGGTGCTTTTTCTTAATTCTAGCTTTAAGGAAAAAAGGTTTCTGAACTTTACCTGTACGTTTACTAGTTGAGTTTTGTTGGTCTGTCTTGCGTACACATGATCTTCTCACATCTTGTGTGTGTGGGTTCAGTTTGTTGTTGGGGTAACATGTATGGACAGGGGAAAGAAACCATTTGATTAGCTTGTGAATGTGAACTCTTAAGGGAAACAAGCAGGCAATTGTTCTGAAGGATCGTCATATTCAATGCAAAATATTGCCTGTCCCTAATTGCTCGGAGGGCAGTCTAGAAAGGGATGGCAGATTTCCTTACCTAAAGGGCATTGGTGGACCAGAGGGGGCTTTACAACAATTAACAGTGGTTATGTGTTGCCACTAAGTTAGCTTTTAGCTCGAGATTTATTTTTTAATTTCACTGGCTGCCACACTGGGATTTGAACCTATTTGCGCAGCACGTCAGCCTGGGGTTTGGGATTACTAATCCGATTACATTCTTATTATGACCGCCCCTCTTTTTAATGGCTCCTGTACTTTCAGGAGTTTAAGGTGAATGATGTTGAAGTGAGCCCCTCCTGCCCACTCAGGTGGTCGTGACATATCCCAGGAGGATCACTGGTATGTTCCTTGGTGTCCTGCCCAGTATTCAAACAGTATCACTCGAATTATTGATCTGAATGTTAAAACGTTATTGTTTGTGAGAGTTTGCTGTGTGCAAACTGGCTGCTGAATTTCCTACAGTACAGCAGTGAAGACCCTACACCAACTATAAAATAGGTTCAGCCTGTCCTGTGCTGATGAAAGGTGCTATCAAAATGCAGGGCTTTTCTTTACAAAAACTAAAAGAGGGATGCATAGAAAGATTTGTTTTTGGGATTGTTTTCAACCTAAAGACTACAGCAAGACAGAAGATGTTAAATGAGAACAATTTCATGCTTAAGCCCTTGACAGTGTATCTATTCATAATCACTTTCATCTTGTCCCTCAGGAAGAATATGAAATTCTCAAGCAGTTGTATAGTTTTAACAAACCTGATCGGGAAGACTCTGAGGTAGGTGAAGATCAAATATAGTTGCTGTTTGCGCAACATGAGGTTATGTTAATTTTGAAGAAACAAAAATTGTTTTCTTGCAGGTTTTTCAACTGTTGAGATTTGCTGTTTATGATTTCTTTTTAAAAGAATACGCTTGCGAATTCAGTGAGTGTTTATATGCTGTGACTGTAACAGACATAGACAGAATCTCTGCTATTTCGCTTGATGGAAAAGAGGATAGTATTAATCGTTACTGTAACTATGGACCAGCAACTTTGTTACAATTTTGCTCGGGAGCAGTAACCTTTTTTTTTAAAGCAGACTAATTCCTGGGATGTAAGAGTTGCCACAGTCCTACTCAGCAGAGACGACTGATGGTGGTTTAACCTGAGGGCCACAACGCCTCCGCTGAAAGGGGAGGTTGAGAAGGAGAGTTCTTCATGGTCGCCTCAGCTGGTATTGGAATTGAAGCCACACTGTTGGCATCAGTTTACATTGCAAAGCAACCATCCAACCAGCCAACTGAACTAACAGACCCAGATGGCAGGACTGATGTATGAAGAGAGACTGGATCAGTTAAGATTATTTTCACTGAAGTTTATAAGACTGAGGGAGGATCTTACAGAAACCAATAAAAACCAAACATGACTAGACAGAGTAAAAGCAGGAGAATGAGAGGTCATCTTATTGAGACATAAAAGATTCTGAGGAGAATAGATAGGATTGGAGAATATTCCCTCGTGTGGAAATGCGTAAAACTAGCAGACACAGTAGTCTCCTTTTCCAGGCAGAGATGAGAATAATTTTCGTTGTATCAGAGGATTATGAGAGTGTGGAATTCTCTTCCCAACACAGCAGTCAGGCTGCATTTAATTTAAATTTATTCAAGGTTGAGTTGGATGGATTTTGGAGAGATGAGTGAATTGAGGATCATGAAAAATGGGGGCTGACACCACAACCAGATTAGCCATTGTCTTATTGATGGTGGAGCAGACTCAAAGGGCCAAATGGTCTACTCCTGCTCCAACATTGAAACATCTCGACATGAAAAGTATACTTAACTTCCCATTTAAAATGTGATGGATTTAACAACATAATTTCTTGCGAGAGCAAAGCATGGGACATATCAGAAGGTATAGGAGTTGGTATATTTTTGAAGACAAGGAAGTCCTGATGTTAGCAACATTGTTTTAAAGACAATTGTTAAAAACAAATCTGAAAATTGTATCTCGTTCCCCTAGGAGGCGTTGATCGATTGTGTGGAAGCTCGTACGAGACAGCTAGAAGATATGGAAGCTGCATTTGCAGACCTGTGTGAAGATGACAGTGAAGAGAGCATACAGAAATGGGCAGCAATACCTGGGTAAATGAAATCACTTTGCAATAAAGCAGCAACATTTCTCTTGACAGGAGAATTATTCAGTTGCTGGAACTCTGAAACAAAAGCAAAAATTGCTGGAGAAACTCAGCAGGTCTGGCACCATCTGTGGAGAGAAAGCAGAGTTAATGTTTTGGATCCAGTGTCCCTTCAGAATTGTTGTTAGGTGAAGGTGATATCTACACTGAAGGAAGTAGAAGGGGAGTGGCAGGGTGGGAGGTGGGAGTGAAGACAGAGCCTATAGAGGAAGATGGTTAGGCAGACAAAGGGATGGATAAAGATAAGCCAGGAAGAAACAAAAGCTGATAATGGGAACTTAAATAGATGAAAATGGGTTAGCTGAATTATTAAGGGACAACACAGTGTAGAGCAGCTGGAGGAACACAGCCGGCCAGGCAGCATCAGAGGAGCAGTAAAGTTGACGTTTTGGGTTGGAACCCTTCTTTGGAAATTCTACACTGTGTTATCTCTAACTCCAGCATCTGCAGTTCTTGCTATCTCTGGCTGAATTATTCAGTTGAAATTGATTGGATAGCTTGTTTTTCTTGTTTCATTCTCTTCTGCACATCGCTTCTTTCTCTCACTGTTTCTCTGACTGGGTCAGTGGCTTGTGCCCAATTGATAATACATGACTTGCCTTTTAGCTGCTTGGACCAGTTCCTAAATCACCTGATTGCCCCCTGACTTCCCAACACCTCCACATAGCACGGTCAGAGGGTGGAGTAGTGGTATTGTCATGGGGTTAGCAATCCGACGACCCAAACTCGTGTTCTGGGGGCACTAGTTCAAATCCTGCCATGGTGACTGGTGGAATTTAAATTAAGTCAGTCTCTATAATAGTGAAACCACCATCAACTTTCATAAAAACCCACCTGATTCACTAATATCGTTTGGGGGAAGAAAATCTGCGGTTGTTACCTGATTTGGTCTACCTGTGACTCCAAGTGCACAGCAGTGTGATTGACTCTTAACTGCCCTTTGAAATAGCAATTAGGATTGGTAACAGCACCCACATCACATGAACAAGTAACAAAATGTCTTCAGTGTTGTGAGCAGAACTGTCCTCTGAGTACAGATTAAATGTGCCTCTTTTTGAAAGGTTTCCCTTCGAATTAGAGCCAGACCATTCAGACCAATTAATCCATGCTGGGATACTGGAGTGCCACACAAATCTCCTGCCATCCCATTGGCTTCATCTCAGCCGTTCAGCTTCTGTTTCTTTCTGTTGCTTTATTTCTCATGTACTTTCCTTTCAAAAGTATCTAAATTATTTGTGGTGGCACAGCAGTTAAGTGGTTAGCACTGCTGCCTCACAGCGCTAAGGACCTGGGTTCAGTCCCACCCTTGGGCAACTGCCTGTAGGAGTTTGCACGTTCTCTTCATGTCTGCGTGGGTTTCCTCCAGGTGCTCTGGTTTCTTCCAACATCCCAAAGATATGAAGGTTTGGTGGATTGGCCATACTAAATGGATCATAGTGTCCAGGGATGTGAAGACTAGGTGGATTTGTCATGGGAAATGCAGGGTTACAGGGATATGATGGGGTAGTGGGGGGCGTAGGTCTGGGTTGGATGCCCTTATGACGTTCGGTGTAGACTTGGGCCAAATGGCCTGTTTTCACACTGTAGGGATTCTGTAATTTGCCATTGCCATTCCAGATGTAGCAGGATCCATACCCTCTGACTGAAGATATTTCTCCTTCAGACCACATTTGTAATTTTGTGAGCATTTTGGGCCCCATATCTAAGGATGGATGTGCTGGCATTAAAGGGAGGTTCCAGATGAGGTTTACACGAATGATCCCAGGGATGAAGGGCTTGTCATATGAGGAGCAGTTGAGGACACAGTGCCTGTACTTTATGGAGTTTGGGAGGATTGGGGGCGGGGGGGTTGAGGGGTCTCATTTGAAACTTACTGAATACCTGAGAGGCCTGGATAGGGTCAACGTGGAGAAGACGTTTCCACTGGTAGGAGAGACTAGGACATGAGGGCACAGCCTCAGAGTGAAGGGATGACTCATTAGGACCGAGATGAGGAGGAATTTTCCAGCCAGAGGGTGATGAATTTGTGGAACTGCTTGCTGCAGAAGGCTGTGGAGGCCAAGTCATTGAGAGTAACTAAAACAGATTTTTTTTAATTCGTTAATGGGATGAGGACGTCGCTGCCCAGGCAGCATTTATTGCCCAAGCCTAATTGCCCAGACAGCAGCTGAGAGTCAACCACATTGCTGTGGGTCTGGAGTCACTTGTAGGCCAAACCAGGTAAGGATGGCAGTTTCCTTCTCTGAAGGACATTAGATAGTTTAGGTTAGATTAGATTTATTGTCGCATATTTTGGAATACAGTGAAAAGTGCAAAGAGTCATCACTCTCTGGCATCACCTTGGATTTCTAAATAAAAAGTAAGAAACTAAAGCAATAGATTTGGAATTTGTTCGGTTTTGTCCATTCGATGATGTCTGGTCAAGAGCTAAGCTCTGTCTCGCCTACTTAGCCGCCATCTCTTTGGACCTCGCTCCTGATGGTGGAGATTGTCTGTGCCCTGGAGCTGGGCTCTTGCACTGCTCATGTGGCCACGTCCAAGCTGAGAGCTACTCTGGGCTTGACCATGCCTCGGAACTGGGCTCCTCCGGATTCAGAAACACATCAGCCATTGTCGAATGGTGAAGCAGACTCATTAGGTCAAAAGGCCTAATTCTGCTCCTATATTTTATGATCTTCAAGTCCAGTAGAACATAGAACAGCACAGCACAGTACAGGCCCTTCGGCCCACGATGTTGTGCCGAACTTTTACCCTAATCCTAAGGTCTATCTAACGTCTACCCCTACTTTATACTATCATCCATATGCCTATCTAATAGCTGCTTAAATGCCCCTAATGAGGCCGACTCCACTACCCTTTCCGGCAATGCATTCCACACCCCGACCGCTCTCTGAGTAAAGAAACTACCTCTGATGTCTCCCCTATATCTACCTCCACTCACTTTAAAACTATGCCCCCTTGTAATAGCTACCTCCACCCTAAGAAAAAGTCTCTGGCTGTCCACTCTATCTATACCTCTGATCATTTTTTACACCTCTATCAAGTCACCTCTCATCCTTCATCATTCTAGAGAGAAAAGCCCTAGCTCTCTCAACCTTTCCTCGTAAGGTCTTCCCTCCATTCCAGGCAACATCCTGGTAAATCTCCTCTGCACCTTTTCCAATGCTTCCACATCTTTCCTGTAATGAGTCAACCAGAACTGGACACAATACTTCAGATGTGGCCGAACCGGGGTTTTGTATAGCTGGAGCATAACTTCACGGCTCTTGAACTCAATCCCTCTGTTAATGAATGCCGACACACCATACGCCTTCTTAACAACTCTATTTACCTGGGTGGCAACTTTCAGGGAATTGTGGACATGAACCCCAAGATCCTTCTACTCCTCCACACTGCCAAGAATCTTTCCGTTAACCCTGTATTCTGCTTTCAAGTTTGTCCTTCCAAAATGAATCGCCTCAAATTTTTCAGGGTTAAACTTCATCTGCCACTTCTCAGCCCAGCTCTGCATCCTATCAATGTCCCTTTGTAACCTAGAACAGCCCTCTGCACTGTCCACAACGCAACCCACCTTCATATCATTCACGAACTTACGAATCCACCCTTCCACTCCTACATCCAAATCATTTACAAAAATCACAAATAGAAGAGGACCCAGAACAGAACCTTGTGGTACACCACTCGTAACTGAGCACCATGTTGAATATTTTCCGTCCCCCACCACCCTTTGTCTTCTAAGGGTCAGCCAATTCTGAATCCAATCTGCCACGTTTCCCCCTATCCCATGCCTCCTTACCTTCTGCATGAGCCTACCATGGGGAACCTTATCAAACTCCTTACTTAAATCCATGTATACCACATCCACTGCTCTACCTTCATCCACGTGTTTGGTCACCTCTTTAAAGTAGATTATTAGTGATTAATTTCTAATTATAGTCACAAGTTTGGATGTTTCCACTTATGGAAATATCTGCATGTCGGGATTGATGTGTGAACAGAACAGCACGGGCAGCAGAGTTTTGGATAAGTTCAGGTTTGTGGAAGGTGAAAGATAGGAGGATGATCAGGAATGTGTCGGAGAAGTGAAAGTGACACTCGGTATGTGTGGCAGCATCTTAAACAAAGTTAATGTTTCAGGTCTGTAATGTTTAATCCGGTTCTCATATAAGGTCATCAAATAGAAACATGAACTCTGTTTCCCTCTCCGCACATGCGGTCTGACCTACTCAACTTGTCTGGCAACATCAGTTTTTATTTCAGTTTTCCAGTATCTGCAGTGTTCTGCTTGTGTGTGTGTTACACATTGACGGTACAGGTTGGATTTTATTAACATTCAATTAAAAAGCTTCTTGGCACAGAAACCCGGATTTTAGCAGGTAAAAGAAATTGACTTTTTTATTATTCAGTCATGGGACACGGGCATCGCTGGCTTGCCAGCATTTTATTGGCTGTCCCTAGTTGCCTCCAATCCACAGCCCAAATCATGCCCCCCAAGTAAATTTTAGGGTAGTGTCCCTGCCTCTGAGTGAGGACTTCCGTGTTCCAGTGATCAAGGAAGGTGTGTTTGTAATGCGGTGGAACAGGTTCTGTATCAAGGTGTAAATTGTTCCGTTACACACCCATGGCAAGTTCCGCCAATGGAGAGATTTCTATTCTGCTGTGTAGTAAGAAACTGGAGCTTCTCTCATCACCATCTATTGCTCCAGATACAACCTTTCCATATGTACCCTGTCAAACCCCGCGGAATGTTTCAATAAGGTCACCTTTCATTTCACAACATGCAACTGAAAGTTTTGCATTGTGACAGCAGTTTGGACTCCTTTATTTGGGGAAGGCGTGGTAGTGCCTCAGTTGGTTGGATGGATGGAATGGCTCAAATTGCCGCCACAAGCATTACGTACAAGTTCAGAGTGGGCCATTTGGTCCCTCTTTCCTGCTCTGCTACCCAATAAGCAAATGGCTGATCTGATATGTGGCCTCAACTCCACATTCCTGCCTCCCACCAATAACCATCAACTGATCAGTTAGTCAGGCACGTTGTTCAATTCCCATTCCAGTTTCTTTGGGAGGGACCTGCATCCTTTCCCTGTCTATAGGGAGGTTGTGGTGCTCAGGTTCGAACCCGTGTTCACCCCGAGAACTGTGTCTTCCAGTTTGTCGTGTTGGTTGCACATTTGTGTGTAACTTTGAATTCCAGAACATGGTTGTTTGTTGCAGTCATTGTCTCATGAGAATTTTGTGTTTGTTTGCAGCCTGGAAAGTCTCACTCAGCTTGTGCTTAGCCTTAAGGAGAGACTGGGAACACCTGACTATGAAATGGTAGGTATGGCAACATTTAGCTGCCTTGTTTATCTTTGTTCTTTCATGGACATCATTGGCAAGGTCAGCATCCATTGCCTGTTTGTTGCTCTTCAGAGTAGCTAAAAATCAAACACATCCACCACCGACGCTCAGTAGCAGTAATGTATACAGTGTGTACTTTCTACAAGATGCGCTGTAGACATTCACCAAAGATTCTTAGACAGCACCTTCCAAACCCACGACCGTTTCCATCCAGAAGGCCAAGGGCAGCAGATATAAAGGGAACACCACCCACTTCAGATTCCCCTCTGAGGCAGTCACCATCCTGACTCAGAAATACATTGCCGCTTCTTCAGTGTCGCTGGGTCAAAAACCTGGAATCCCCTCCCTATGGGCATTGTGAGACCACCTACAGCACATGGACTGCAGCGGTTCAAGAAGGCAGCTCACCACCACCTTCTCAAGGGCAACTAGAGACGGGCAATACATGCTGGCCCAGCCAGAGATACCCATTTCCCATGACTGAGTAAACAGAAAATCATTTCTATTTTGAACGTAAAGATTTAATCTGCTTCCAACACCCTCTCGGGTAGCACATTCTACATTCTGATCCACCGTGTATACAAAAATATTTCCTCACATTCCCTCTAGTTCTTCTATCAATTAGTAAAAATCTGAGACCCCTGATGATCGATCTGTTCACCATTTTTTTTTTCCTGCTGATAAATTTCTGTCGAAGCTCCCAGGCTGGATTGTAATTTCATATCTCCAGTAATTTGCAGAATCTCCCCTGAATGATGATCGTTCAGGCACAAAGCTAAGCAGCCAGGACCAGAGGGCTGGTTGACCATAAAAGCATCACAACAGAGCTGGATTCTGTGCTTGGCTGCATTCATGTAGTACCCTATCCACCCACCCACATTCAAGGCTCAGCAAAGTTAGAACGAATGTCTGTACTTCTGAATGTTTCTGGATTCATGAGCTTGCTGAATCATCAGAGAAATGGGTGGCTGGGTTTTATCTGGAACTCTGTGTACAGTTTCAGTCTCTTCAGTGTAAAAGCTAGAGGAAGGTTCACAGTATCACATGGAAAAAATGATTGAACAGATTTTGGAGTTTAGAAGAACAAGGGATAATTAAAAGATAAAAGATAAAAGATCCTGAGGGAACTTGAGAGGGTGGAAGCTAATCGGATGTTTCCCCTCATGGGAGAACTAGAAGATAAATTTTTTTTAAAAAAGTAAGGGTGTCCTACTTAAGACTGAGATGAGAACTTTATTTTCTCTCTCAGCATCATAAGTGTTTGAAATTCTCAACTGTAGTGGGTAGTGGAGGCAGGGCCATTGAGTATATTCAAGGTTGAGTTCGATTTTGAATCGACAAGAGTCTAGGGTTATGGGGAGCAGACAGATGAGTAGAGCTGAGACAACATCAGATCAGCCATGACCCTATTGAATGGTGGAGTAGGCTCAAGAGGCTGAAAGGCCTAATCCAGTTCTAATTCCTTATGATCTTTTCCATGTGTTCATGTGCAGATGTGGGTGTCTGATTGTACAAGTGTCAATCTGAACTCCTATTTGTAAATGTATTTGTCGAAACCAGTTTCTTATCACTGCACTGAGTAACGTTCTTGGCTGGGTTTTTATTTACAGGTTCACCAGGCTGGGCTAACATGTGACTATTCCGAACTTCCGCACCACATCAGCACTGAGGAAGAGATAGACAAACACATGTCTGCTGTAAAACGGCTACTTAAAGTTTTACCCAGGCCAACTCTAATTACCATTGCAAGGTATGTAGTAGATTACAAAAGCAAAGTGCAGTGGACCCTGGTGACCTGCAATGAAATCAGAAAATACTGGAAACTCTGATCAGGCAGCCTCTGAGGGTGAGGAAATAAAGTTGGCAAGAAAGGTCATTTACCTGATACGTTAATTCTGTCACTCTCTTTGCAAATGCTGCCAGACCTGCTGAGTATTTCCAGCATTTTCTGCTTTTATTTATTCATAGAATACCTCAGTACCATGGGTGCAATCCTGTACATGCCCTGAAGGAGAGGTGTTCTGAGCCAGGGTCTTTCATTCTGTCTGTGAATACCCATGTCTCAGGAACAAAGAAACAGGAGGACTTCCTCGAATTTGCTAGTCAATGAAGCTATGACTGATCTATGGGCTAAACCCAATCTCAAAACCTTCACCCACGTACTTTGCAAAGCAAAACAGGATCAATCTCAGTGTTAAAACTAGTCATTAATCTAGCATTGAATTCTGGTTGTACAGAGTTCCAGTTTTCTGCTGCCCAGTATGTGTAGGAAAGTTTGCGAATTTCATTCCAGGCAGATATGACTCTTGAGTTCTGGACTACTTCCTGTAGTTCTAAGCTCCCCAAACAGTTGAAATAGTTACTTGCTAAAATAAAACAAAGAACTGTGCAGGTGGAAGATCTGAAACGGAAACAGAAATTGCTGGAGGAATTTAGCAGAGTTAACATTTTGAGCCCAGCTTTTAAGAAGGTTCACTGAATTGTTAACTGTTTCTCTCTCCACAGATGCTGCCAGACCTGCTGAGTTTCTCCAGCATTCTCTGTTTTTGTCTAAAATACTTTCCCTCTATATCTACCCCATTTGAGCTCCTTAATATCTGGAAAACTTTGATCAATTCACACTGTCGGCTCTCTAAATTCAGCGAATACAGTGCTGGTTTGCACAATTACTTCTTCTGGTTTAACCATTGGAGTCCAGGTCTGTACAGGGAACTGCCTCCAAGTCCAATACATCTTCCCAAAGAGGCAGTGTCCAGAACTGCTTGCAGTAACGCTGAGTATGTCCATTCAAAGCAGGAGGTAATCCTAAAGTAGATTACAGGAAAAGATCCTTTTCCTTCGAACGCATCCACCGGATCATTTCCTCCTCTGAACTGTGCAAGCGGCATGGGCTAACATTTTTCCCAATCATTGGGAGATGAGCTGAAATCCAGTCTTGACATTAAAGTAGACATTGCTGGGGATGCTTCTCAGTGGAATGTGTTTGGACCACATTAACCCATCTGCTCACACCCACTGGCAGTCTTTGACAAGCACGGAATTGGCTCCAATTGATCACTTTTATTGATAGACAATGATTTAAACTTGAATCCCGTCAATGCTTGAAGTTTTGCCTGTTCTGTCAGTAGCACTCAAGTCTCTGAGCCAGATGATCAAGCCCCAATCTGGAGACTGAGCACATAACCCAGGCAGCGCTGAGGGAGTGCAGCACTGTTGGAACTGCTGCCTTTTAGCTAAGACCTTAAATCCAAAGCACTTTTGTTCCTTTGCATGATAATAAAAGATTTCAGATCCAGTCTTAGAATCATACAGCATGGAAACAGGCCCCTCAGTCCCTGCCGACCATAATTCCAAACTAAACTAGTCCCATCTGCCTACGTTTGGCTCACATCCCTCCAAACCTTTCTTAATCATGTACTTATCCAAATGTCTTTTAAATGTTGTAATTGTACCTACATCCACCAGTTTTTCTGGAAGTTCATTCCACACATGAACCACTGTATTAAAAAAAAAGTTGTCCCTCATGTCTTTTTTTAATCTTTCTCCTCTCACCTTAAAAAAAAGTATGCCACCAACTCTTGAAATCCCCCACTCTAGGGAAAAGACATTCACCTTATCTATGCCTGTTATGATTTTGAAAACCTCAGGAAGGTGTTTGAGAAAAAGAAGGGGAGTAGTCCAACGTGACTTGAGTCAATGTCTATTCCTCAACAAACGTCATTAAAATAAATTATTTGATCACTAAGAATGAGCTGTTTGTGGTAGCTTGCTGTGCATGAAATGGCTGCCATGTTTGCTATATTGAAAGAATGAACGGCCATTCTAACCAGTTGTTCTGTGTAAACCTGGAATCGTGTGATCGTACCTCAGTTGGCTGGACAGCTGGTTTGCAATGCAGAGTGACACCAGCAGTGTGGGTTCAATTCCTGCACTGGCTGAGTTTATCATGAAGGATTCTCCTTCTCAACCCGTCCCTCACCTGAGGTGACCCTCAGGTTAAACCACCACGTTGTCTGTCTCTAATGAGAGGGCAGCCCTGTCGTCTGGTAAGTCTATGGCGCCTACCTTTGCCTGTGATAATCGAGAGTTGTCAAAGCTCAGTTTGTTGTCTGTTAGTTGTACAAACCTTGCATTATTCTGAATGCCTTTGGTTATATTAAATATAAACAACAAGCCCATGGTTTACGTTACTGTTAAATGTTTTCTCGTAACTTTTCCTGAGAATGTTTCTGCCAATTGCAGTACACGTGGAGCAGATTGTGTCATTTCACGTGGAGATTTTGTGCTGTACTTTTGTTTCAGGTCCAGTCTAGACGATTACTGTCCATCTGAACAGGTAGACTCTATTCAGGAGAGGATGTTAAAGGTGCTACGTTGTTGCTACGGGGCATTAGATATCCACTTAGAATACTGAATTTGTCAGGCCCCTGTCTGAACCAGAGAGGGCGCACAGCCTTTTGTCTCATTTCCAGAAGAAAGCATCAAGATAGGAGCAGGAGGAGGCCATTCGACCCATCAAGGCTACAATTAGACCACCAACTACAATTAGAGACGATCTTGGGTTTCGACTCCGCTTTCTAAAGCGAATTTTATTTAATAAATAAATTGTAATTTTAACAATGACACTATGGTCTTGATCTTTATTTCAACAATCTTGCTGTTAAAGTTGGCAGGTTTATTTAGCAAGCGAGTGTTTTTTTTAACTTATAGATATCTACAGCGCAGGAGGAGGCCATTTAGCCCATCAACCCTGCGCTGACCCCCTGAAAGGATATTCTTGTCTGTTACCTGTCAGTTTGTCATCTTCAGGAAGCTGTCCAACAGGCTTGTAAAATTATTTTTACAACATCAACTTCTCTTCCCAGTCAAGCGAATTAGGTAATTCTTGAGTGGAAATCGTTCTTCCTCTTCTCCCCTTTTTCAATCTTGTTCCAGTGATATTTGGATCCCATTACCAAATGTTAATGATGTAGTGACCAGAGGAAATAGTTCTTCTCTATCAGAATTTCTCACCATCTTGAAAACCTCAATGATGACACCTGTTGACCATCTCTCTTCCAAGGAGAACAGTATGATTGTGGACAAATTCCCCTGATAAACAAAGCCTCTCATTCCTGGTAACATCCTGATAAACCTCCTCTGTGTCTATTCTAAGTCCGAGTGAAGTTGGTCACAATGCGTTAAATTTCTGATCAATAAGCACGGGTCTACTAGGCTCTATTTCTCCCCAAACAAGAGAGTATGGTGTAGTTGTAATATTACTGGATTAGTAACCTAGAGGCCCAGGTTTGGGCCTTGGGGACCCATGTACAAATCCCACCCAATTGAAAAGGAATCTGGAATTGAAAGCTGGTCTCAGCTCGGTAACAGTGACCATGAAGCTTCACTGACAGTGCCTTCAAAACATACAGCCTTTACCTTTTTCTGTGCTGTAGATCTCCAGAACCACCTAGAAGGATAAGGGTAACAGATACATGGGAACACCTGCATGTTCCACTCCCAGCCACTCACCATTCCTTACTTGGAAATATATCATCAATCCTTCAAAGTTGCTGCATCAAAATCCTGGAACATCTTCCAAACATCACTGTGGTTATAACTAATCCCCAAGGTTCACGAAGGTGGTTCACCATCATCTTCTAGATCCAAAGAATAAAAAGAGTTCTCATCTAATTGGATCAGCACTTCAGCAGGAGGATATTTTCCCTTGTTACTTTTTACTCAATGCATCTTTTAATATATTTTGCCTGCCAACTAGGGACTGTTCTTTTTGATGGGAAAATGCCTTAGCCCTAGCAAGTTTTCACTAGTAAATGTAACATTATTCAAACTCCTAAAGCACTTCAACTCTCAATGAGTTTTCCACATTGTCTTGAGTTTAACCAAATATGAATTGACACATTGTGTAAATGTGGGGTGGAAAACGTTTGAAGCTTGGGTATTTTCATAATTTTCTAATTGAATGTCACGATTCTTGGTGACCTTGTACTTATTTAAGATTTCCTGTTGATGTGTATTCTTCATGCGATGAGTTCTAACTCAACAATATATGGAAATTTGGGAATTTATGATCTCGGAAGTAATCAATATTTCTTTTTAAAACATTTGAAATCCCAATTATTTACAAAGAGAATGTAGCACAGTAATATTCCATAGTTAAAACTGAAGAAATTTTACATTACAAGAGCCAAACTAGTAAAGCAATCACGAAATGCTATCTTGGGTACTGCCTATACTCTAAAACCCTGAATCGATATAAGATGAATGTGAATTAAGAGGCAAATTGAAGTTGATTATAAACTATGAATTACACCTTAATTGATAGATAGAAATAACATCTTGCAAATTGTTTCCACAGATCATTCAACATATAGGTCATCAATCTCCATCATAAAAGACATTAAAAACTCTTGTCTTCCTCACAAAGAATTTTAGCTCCTTGCCTTCTACGATTAAGCTTGATTTCCAGCCAACAGCAGCACATAATCAAACTGAGTTCCACAAGTACCATCTTCACCAAGAAAAGAACACATCTGCAGAACCTGCCCACTTGGTCTGGATGACATAGAACGACTAATGTTGTTTTCCAATCACAGACATAACCGCAGCTTCTGTTTCTATCCTCACTTCTTCAGCCTGCCTGTACTGCACTACTGAAGTTAACAGCTGCTGCTGCTCAGCTCTGGTGACTTCGATATGCTTTCAACAAGGTTCACTCTCCCGAGGTGTTCTGGTTTCCAATTGCAGTTTCAGTTTTCATACCCTTAGAACTTCGGCGGGCCAGTTTCCCTTTTTAGTTAGGCTCTGTATCGAAGATTAAAAGGTGCCAAACCTCAAAGTCCATGACAAAATGGGAGGTGTGGAGGAGGAAAATAGCTACTTATATTGTCCACATTGTTACTGGAATGTCGTGTTTACAAATCCTACCCCTTTTTCAATTCTTTTGACTGTGATTTACATTATCTTTGCCAATAATCTTTATTCAATGAATAACCATGCTCTATTGTTAGCATTTGGGTGACCGTTGGCAGGGCTTAAGCAGTGGGAATGATAACCTAAACAGCAGAGGAACGTAGCATTCTTTCAATCCCATCTGCAAGGATTGTATTGTCTCTCCATCTTTAGTCTACGGAGGATAAACTACATTCAAAAATTGAAGAAGGACCATAGCAGACTCCCACCATCTATCTGCCTAGTTGGAGTGAAGGTAAGACTTCTTGAAATTAAAACTTTTCAAGTAAACCTTATTTTCAGAATATTTCTGCAAAGGATAACATTTCACTAGAGGGAGCCAGACATCGTCTTATGACTTGGATTGAAAATTAAATCTCCTTTCTAGTTACTGTCTGACAATTTGTTATTCATCACCCAGGACTTGACATTTGCTGCTTTGCAATGTTTTACCAGCTATGACAGTGCTACTGGATTGTGACTTTGTCACTTGCTGCAATAATATGCTGGCCAGTATTGCATATGTAATCCTGACCCTGTGCCTGAGAGAGTTTCTCTATATATTGATAATACACTCTAAAGGTGCTGGATAAATGAATGCTTATTCACCATGTTAGTTGCCATTGAGAAAATGGTGATAAGCTACCTCCTTGAACCTCTGAAATCTATGTGCTGAAAATACTTCCACACAAATGGTGGTATAGTTCCAGTTTAGGGTGGTGTGTGTCTTGGAGGTATATGTGGTGGTGTTCCCATGTATCTGCTTCTCTTGTCTTTCTAGTTATAGAGGCCATGGGTTTGGAATGTGCTGTCAGAATAACCTTAGCGAGTTGCTACAGTGCATCTTGAAGATGGTATGCACTACTGGCACTGTGTGTTAGCGGTCATTGTCATAAGGTCAGAGAGAGGTATGGCACGGAAACTATTTTCCTCCTCCACACCTCCCATTTTGTCATGGACTTTGTGGTTTGGCACCTTGTAATCTTTGATATAGAGCCTAACTAAAAAGGGAAACTGGCCCTCTGAAGTTCTAAGGGTATGAAAACTGAAACTGTAATTGGAATTCAATCCAACTTGTCTAAGCTGACCAGATATCCTAAATAATCTACTCCCTTTTGCCAGCATTTGGCCCATATCCCTCTAAACCCTTCCTATTCATTTATCCATCCAGATGCCTTTTAAATGTTGTAATTATACCAACCTCCACCACTTTCTCTGAGACCTCATTCCATACACACATCACCCTCTGTGTGAAAAGGTCCCTTTTAAATCTTTGCCCTCTGACCTTAAACCTTTGCCCTCTAGTTTTAGACTCTCCCACCCTACGGAAAAGATCTTGGCTATTCACCCTATCCATGTCCCACATGATTTTATAAACCTCTATAAGGTCACCCCTCAGCCTCTAACGCTCCAGGGAAAATAGCCCCAGCCTATTCAGCCTCTACCTATAACTCAAACCCTCCAACCCTGGCAACATCCTCGTAAATTGGAGAACATTTAAAGTGACAGATGGGGAGCCAATCAAAACCCTTGTGCATAAATCTGATGTAGTAGGAACTGCAGATGCTGGAGAATCCGAGACAACAAGGTGCAGGGCTGGATGAACACAGCAGGCCAAGCAGCATCATAGGAGCAGAGAGGCTGACGTTTCGGGCCTAGACCCTTCATCAGAAAAGGAGATCAGTTCGGTGGGGCAGGAGCAGGCGGAGACAATGGGTCGACCAGGGCATTCAGGTTTGTGGATTTTGGGAAGGAGATAGAAGCGGGCAGTGCGAGGTTGGGGAATGATGAGGTTGGAGGCCGTGGTTGGGAGGTCACCTGAGGTGATGAGGTTGTGGATGGTTTGGGAGATGATGGTTTGGTGCTCGGGGGTGGGGTCATGATTGAGGGGCCGGTAGGAGGAGGTGTCGGAGAGTTGGCGTCTGGCCTCGGCGATGTAGAGGTCAATGCGCCATACTACAACTGCGCCTCCCTTGTCCGCGGGTCTTATGGTGAGGTTGGGATTGGAGCGGAGGGATCGGAGGGCTGCACGTTCTGCGGGGGAGAGGTTGGAGTGGGTGAGAGGGGTGGAGAGGTTGAGGCGATTGATGTCTCGACGGCAGTTGGAGATGAAGAGGTCGAGGGAGGGTAGGAGGCCTTGGGGTGGTGTCCAGGAGGAGGGAGTGTGTTGGAAGCGGGAGAAGGGGTCAGTAGAGGGAGGGTTAGGTTCACGGTTAAAGAAGTGGAGGCGGAGGCGGCGGAAAAACTGCTCTATGTCCAAGCGTGAGCGGTATTCGTTGATCTGTGGGTGGAGGGGGACAAAGGTGAGCCCTTTACTGAGGACTGACCATTCGTCCTCAGTAAGGGGTAGGTCTGAGGGGATGGTGAAGACTCGGCAGGGCTGGGTGCTGCTGTCTCCTCTGGAGCTGCTGGCTGTGGGCGGAGTTGCGTCGGCGTCGGCTGTGGGCGGAGTTGCGCCGGCGGTGGGTGGAGTTGCGTCCGCGTCGGTGATGGGCAGAGCGGCGTCGGCGGTGGGAGGAGCGGGGTAGGCGGCGGCAGTAATGGTGATGGTAGTCACGACTTCAGTGTCGGTGGCAACGGCAGCGATGGTGTTCGCTGTCCCGGAAGTGGGGAACCCGGAGGTGGCGGATGTGACGTCATCTGTGGGTTCTCCGATAGTGGCCTCATGGCCA